AGTCCATGTTGACAGGAAATCTTTCATATATTACTCTGGAATTTAGACAGCAGAACAATGGCCCATGTCACATGAATGACAGAATGTCCTGTGACTAATCTAGTTGACAGGAAAAGGGGATTTTGGTTGGCCTGGCAGTGCCAGAGTTGCGAGTAACTTTAAAACTCTTATATAATGTAGGTACTCCAATATACACTAACCCTTGAAGGACTTCTGTAGCCACCTGCATTTTTTCACTTGGTTAAAGGTACTTTGTCTCTTGAAACAGGTGTAAGGTGTGTTTTCACAATTCCTTCAAATAAGCAGCTGTCTTTTTTTTTACTTCAAGTATAACTAAAGGCAAAACTTTCTAGGCTTCATTTACATTTAGGGTTGGGGGGCAGTAAAATCACACTTTAAAAAAAAAAAAAAAAACAGGTAAACACTTGCGTTTTTTCCCACTCCCCATAAACTGATTGTAAAGCTTTCATTTTTTTTATTAAAATAAAAAAAACATGTTATAGTTGCGAGGCGGTATCAAAAGGTTTTGAGACTAGTTTTGTAACACATTATCAGATGGCAGCACAAGGCTGTATGCAAAGTCACAGGGAGCACCGACCTCCATAAATCAGTGTGCCAAAAGACGTTGTCCTATGTACATCAGGAGCTGTGCAACTGGTGCTATTCTGACCAGGTGCGTTGCCACGTCTGCTATTTAATCATGGACAGAACGTTAGAACAAAGAGCAAACGTGAAATTCTGCATGAAATGGGACAAATCTGCCACAGAGATGTCTGATTTGATTCATCAAGTTTGCGGAATTGCTGCAATGAGTTGTTCGAGGTGTTTTCAGTGGCACGCGCACTTCAAGAGTGGAAGAACATCAGAGGAAGACGATGAGAGATCAGGGAGACCTTCAAAGAGCTCAACCCCGAAAAATGCCCTCTTCTCGAAGATGAAGGTTGCTATTTTGACAATATTGCAGCAACCCACCAATTTGCCCAGTTTCGTGCAGAATTTCATGTTTACTCTTTGTTCTAACTTGCTGTCTATGATGAAATAGCAGACATGGTAATACACGTGGTCAGAATAACATCAGTTGCACAGCTCCCAATGTACACAGGACGATGTCTTTTGGCACACTGACTTTAGAAGGTAAGTGCTCCCTGTGACTGCATGCAGCCTTGATCTGCTATCTGTTGGCATGTTACAAAACCAGTCTCAAAACCTTTTGATACCTCCTCGTACCTGCTGTGTGCAATGGCTTTGCAACAGCCCTGATCCTCTTCTTCTGGTGTCCCCTGCTGGCACTCTTGGCTCCTCTTCCACTGCCTGTGTTCATAGACACAGACAACACAGCTCGACACTGCCTCCTGCTCCCTTGTCACAGAATTTGATTGACAGCAGTGGGAGCCAATGGATCCTACTTCTATCAATCTGCCCAATGAGGAGGGAGAGAGCAGAGAGAGCCGCTGTGCAAAGGTAATTATAAGCAGGGGGGGTGGGGGGACTGGGGGTAAAAAAAACTTGAGCATTTAGAACCAATTTAACCGAGTGCAAATGTGTGGCCTCCCGGCGTCTGGGCCTAGACACCGAGCAGTCGCCCATTTACATTCTATTAAAAAATAACATATGTGCATAGAGTGCGCCCTGCGCGCTCCCAGCACACATGTCCGGTACTCACGGAAAGGTCCCGATCTCCTCTTTCGATTGGGACCTTTCCCGATCATGTGACAGCGTGTCACGGCGGTCACATGACCCTAAACCCTGCCTCCCGGCTTCTGAAACCCTTAAAGGGCCGGGAGGCGCCGGCGTGAAGGGGTTAAACCCCTAAGGCAGTGGGCAGGCACATTCACGTGTTGGTGCCGCCCAATGAACGCGACCAATTCACCCACTATCCCCTGCATACAATTTGTACAATCTTCTTTAGGTCTGCCAACAACTATGTAGTGCAAAGGCTTGCCTGATTTGATACAAATTGATTGGATAGATTAGGCAGGTCCTCATTTTACTTTGTTTTGGTAAATATAAAGTTGATTGTACAAAAAATTGTACAGTTAGATTGTCACATATATGGTTACCCTTACCCTAGATTCACACCTAAGCGTTTTCTGCAGCGTTTTGCAGAAATGCAGTACAGTCTATTTAACATTGTTTCCTATGGGACATGATCACATCTGCGCGTTTTCACCTGGTGCGTTTTTTGGAAAGGGTCAGAGACTTTTTTGAACGCAAAAAGTTGCATTTTTTGTTTTATAGACTTCAATGGAAACGATGCAGAAAAGCATGTACTGCGTTTTTGCCGCATTTCCAATGTGTTTTAAATCTGCCTAGCAACAAGAAAAATAAAAAATTAAAAAACCCCACAAAACGCATCAAAAACACGGCAAAAACATAGTTGCAAAAAACGCAATGCAGAAACGGCTCAAACGCAACCTGCATAGGTGTGAACCTAGCCTTAGGGAGATTCACCCTATTCATCCCAAACTTTGAGTGGTCACCAAAAAAAAAGAGGAAAATAAAACCTGTTTTGGCTATGGACCAGAAAGCTCCCCAATGGAACACAAATGGCAGAAAAACTGTCAGGAATTATAGCCCTTAGTTAAACAATTGTGACGGCCAAATGTGGCTACTCTCCATAATCCTTAATGTGTGAGCGGCCATTGCCTTGCAAAAACCCCATAGATGTACCATTGCACCTTCCATTCCATGATCATTGTGGAGATATCGGTTGGCCTTGAAGTCTGAATAATTTGCATAGGCCGATTACTGGTAGAGAGAGTCTAAAATGACCTTTTCTCAAAAATAATACAATTCTGACAGAAGTTCCAACCATCCAAGGTGGTTTTTTTGACTGGCAACTTCATTGGAGATACTATTTTTTAAAGATTTATAAAGTGTTAGATATTTTGAGAGTGAGTTATTGTAGTATACGATATCTATTGTAGTAATATATATATTGCTGTGTATTTCCGTTGGCTTTCCTTCTTTAAAATGAAATTGATTTAACAAACAGCTCAATAGGGCCCCTTTCACATGGGACAGACTCCCGTTTTGATGAGCAGAGGATCTGTCCACTGATTGCCTGCTGATCGGAGCAGAGCGGGTGGATGACAGGTCCATGTCAGCTCAGTTTCTGCAGAGTAGACATGAACGGCCAGGAATAGATGGACTCTCCATTTACACCTGAGTGCTCTCTAATCCGCCTAGATGGAGGGGGACGGATCCCCTTCAGTTTTATTTACCAGACTGAATCGGATTGGAGGTAGGTGGTTGTAAATGGGCACAAGTCTGTTGTCCATTTACACCCGCTTGGTCCATAGGTGAATGGACCATCCGATCAGGTCTACCTGAAAAACTGACAGTGGTCCTGATCAGAACCTTTGAGTGAAAGGGACCTAAGTATGCCAAAATAGTAGCATGTTCTGAGCAATTATCACTTCAGATAATTTATAGTGAATCTGTGGCCAGGCTATGGATATTCAAGTATTTAGGAGTTTTAAGGCCACTTTTACATGGCCCTGACAGCATTTACATGTGAGAACCCCAGCGGGGGTTTCCAGCAATTAGCTGAGAGGTAGACCCATTGACAACAATAGGAACCTGCCAGCTCCTGTAGGTAGTCCACATTTAATCACATGAGATGACAAAGAAACAGACTCACTTACCTAGACAAGAGTCTGAATCTACGGCTGGTCAATCGCAGGTGATCACTGCATAGCGATTACATACGAGTGGCAAGGCTTACCTGCGGGAGCTGGCAGCCTATTATTGTCAACGGGTCTTCCTTCCACACCAAGTCGCTGGGAACCCCCACTGGCGTTCATGCATGTAAATGCTGTTGGAAACATTCGCAAGTGTGAATGTGGTCTTGAACAAGCCCTCATTGACCTCTGTAGCTACAAGAAACTTTGGAGCTATTCATCCTAAGTCATCCTCCCAGCAACTCAGCTTACCCTGCTCCCACTCACAGAGATGTTTACATTAAATATTGGAGAGTGTATATTTACTGCTGGGAGGGGGAAGCAGGGAGAGCTGAGCTGTTGAGTCTCTGCTGGGAGTAGAAGCAGGGAGAGCTGAGCTGTGGAGTCACTGCTGGGAGGAGAATCAGGGAGAGCTGAGCTGTCGAGTCACTGCTGGGAGGGGAAGCAGGGAGAGCTGAGCTGTTGCTTTATTGCTGGGAGGGGAAGCAGCAAGAGCTGAGCTTTGGAGTCACTGCTGAGAGGGGGAAGCAGGGAGAGCAGAGCTGTTGAGTCACTGCTGGGAGGGGAAGCAGCAAGAGCTAAGCTGTTGAGTCACTGCTGGGAGGGGAAGCAGGGAGAGCTGAGCCACTGCTGGGAGAAGGAAGAAGGGGGAGCTGAGCTGTTGAGTAACTGCTAGGAGGGAGGAGCAGAGTAAACTATTTGCTTTCATAGACATGTGTCTGCTGTGACCATAATCTGATGTGAGATATACGGTAACAATATACAAATAATAATATGATAATGATAATTTCAAGATGGCCCGAAACTGAAATAGATAAGGTGGATGGTTAGTAGTCTTGCTTTCCAGAGCTAAGATTCTGGGTTCCTTGGTCTCCATGAGATATGCCCACATTTCCTGTATGCCACTAGACTGTAAGCTCCTCCTGGGCAAGTGAATGGTGCTATGTATTCTGTAGGGCTCTGTGTGATATGTTGGTGCAATATAATAGAAAAAATTATATTCATAGTCTGATGGAGTAACACGCATTTCTCTTTATTTCAGGTCTCGCCATTGACAACCTAGATCGTTTTTATGAGGAGTGTTCATCTATGGCGCATAACTGCAGCTTTTCCTTTGCGTATGTTCAAACTACCTTCCTGGCTCCAGTGTACACGGTGGAGTTTGTTTTAGCCGTGGTAGGAAATGGTTTTGCCATCTGGCTGCTAGGGCCAAGAGGATCCAAGAACCGCCATGCTGGAATTATCTTCTCTCTCAACCTTGCTGTGAGTGACTTGGCCTACGCCTTGTCTCTTCCTCTCCTTGTGGCCTACTATGCAATGAAAAAAGATTGGATCTTTGGTATCGCCCTTTGCAAAGTGGAACGATTTCTTTTCCATTGTAATCTTTATGGAAGCATCTTCTTTATCACCTGCATCAGTGTCAACCGCTGCATCGGAGTTGTGTACCCCTTTTATGCTAGGGGTAGAGTGGAGAGTAAACACGCCAAGTTGGCAAGTGTGGCAGTTTGGCTTATAGTTGCCGCAATTTCTTGCCCTGTGTTTGAATTCTCAACCTTACAGGTAGAAGGACTTAAGAAAGAATGCTTAGGGACAGCCCTGAACAGCCAACTAAAGTCATATTTTCCATACAGCCTGTTTCTTGCTGGCTTTGGCTGTGGCCTCCCATTTATCATCACTCTTATATCTTATACAGGCATAGCTCGAGCTGTATGGAAAAGTCATGGACTGGAATCAAGGGAAAAGAGAAAAGTGGTGACCATGGTCTGTGTGGTCATTTTGTTGTACTCCATCTCATTCCTGCCCTACCACATCCTGAGGAACATGAACCTTGCAAGCAGAATATGGCCAAAGAATTGCAAACGATCTGCTTTTCTACATTCCGCTTTCCAAGTCACCCGGGGGCTAGTGGCACTGAACCCTTGTATCCACCCATTGTTGTACACTTCTGTGATGGACAATGTGAGGGCAAAACTTGGCTGTTGCAAAGGACAGGAAGAGGAGAAACCGCCTGAGAGCATTCGACTTTGATCTGCACACTGATTATACTAGACTAGTATTAAAGTACACAATTCCAAGAACTGAAGGAGTTGTGGGGAAAAACTATCAAAAGTCTAATGTATGGACACAAGTCAAATAAGAACATGGACCTAGAGATTATGACATATGCTTAAGACCAGGGGCGGACTGACCATTTGGAAACTCGGGCACTGCCCGAGGGCCCGGGGTCAGTAGGCGGCCCCATGAGATGCCCCTGGTACCTTTTTCATAGGCTTTTTTGAGTTTGGGCAAGGACACAGGGGCCCCATGATCCCCTATTGCCTGGGGGCCTCATGAGTTGTCAGTCCACCCCTGCTTAAGACAGAAGAATTCCTTGGAGAAAGTACCTGACTGTTGTGTAGCCATGTTTATTTTGTGACCAACGATCCCCAATAACTGTGATTCTTCCTACATCACATCAAATAACTCACCTATTGTGTACGCTCACTGCACCTCTTTCAACAGGCTCACTTAAAGCGGAGTTCCACCTGAAAAACAAAATAAAAGTCAGAAGCTACAAAAACTGTAGCTGCTGACTATTAAAACACAGCCACTTACCTGTCCCTCAGTCCAGCGGTGTTCTCACCCCAGCTTGTTTCACTGGCTGTCTTCTCTCCCTGGCACCAGCATCTTCAGTGTGGGCACCCGGCTGTGACAGCTTGCGGCTTCACAGCCGGGTGCCCACTGCGCATGTGCGAGAAGCGTTGCTCTTTGTGAGTGGTCCTGTAGTCTTCTGGAACCTGTCACTTGTCCCAGAACAACACAGGGAGGGGGGGCGGACAACTTCCACTTCAGATTGCCTAGGCGATCACAGCAAAAGTGGGAGGCGATTGCAGTAAAAGTGGGAGCGGGTACCTGTCAAGTTCAGATACCCGCTCCCCAAAAGTCCTTAATGTGGAGCAGGGGACAAAGGCTTAAAGCAGAACTTCCCCTTTTTAGGGGGAGCTCCACTTTAAGCTACACATACATTAATCATTTTTTTTTTTTTCATTCAACCAGTAGGTTGACCCGATTCCATCATCCACACACTCAATGTGGACAAGGGAATCACTTCCACTGTGTTGTGTTCTTACAATGGGGAACCTTCCTTGCTGTCAGAATACACAGATCAGCTTCAGCTGGCGGCACTCATTTGGATCAAACCTGACAGTCTGGTTGTAAAGAAGTCAATCAGTAGATCAACTTCTGTGCAACCAGTCTACCCATACAGGGATTGAAATTCAGCCAGTCCATGCTGAGCCTTTAATTGCCCAACACCCTGGCCAAACCCCACTTCCCCCATGGTACTCCTTTTGTTTGCCAAAGTGACTTGAAAGCATCCCGTGTAAGTTAATCTTGAGTTTCTTGAGAATCTGGAATTTGCCTAGAGCTCTCATCCAACGTGATGGTGCTTGGGCCTGGGGTTTGCCTGCTTAGATGCCTAGTGCTGTATTATGGGCTGGTAAGGGAGAGAGTCAGATATTCTCCATGCACAAAATAAAGGGCATTTCACATCACTCTAGCGGGCAAACAGTGCAGTGGAGGAGTGATTGCTAATGAGTGTAAGTAGCAAGTGAGCCTGGTTCTGTGTCCTGCATGGGCCAAGTGGGGAATGAACATTTAAATGATTTATTCTTTTAAAAGAATGTGTACAAAATAAAAACAAATTTACTTTTAAGTAGCTGTACCTTATCAAACCAAATGATAACTTCATAGTTTCCAAAAACAGCAATGAAAGGCTTATTTCTAGCTGCACTATGTGGCTAAAGGTTTTTAAACACCTGACCATCGCATGTTTATCCAATTCCAAACCCATGGACATTAACCATTTCTCTCCTACATGTAAAGATTTTTTTTTTGCTGGAAAATTATTTAGAACATCCAAACATTATATATTTTTTTAAGCAGAGTCCCTAGAGCAGGGGTGCTCCACCTTTTGAAGAGCGAGGGCCACTTAAATGATTTGGTAACTGGTGGCAGGCCATAATGAAATTAAATGGTTCAGAATTTCAATTTTTTTTTTATTTTAAATGTAAAATGAACATTTTCCTCTTGCAGCTGCTGAATGCCGTTGGGAGTAGGGGCGGACTGACAACTCATGGGGCCCCCAGGCAATAGTGGATCATGGGGCCCGTGTCCTTGCCCAAACTCAAAAAAGCCTATGAAAAAGGTACCAGGGGCATCTCTTGGGGCCCCCTACTGACCCCTGGCCCTCGGGCAGTGCCCAAGTTTCCAAATGGTCAGTCTGCCCCTGGTTGGGAGAAGCCATTTTCAGCGGTTGCAGGAGGAAAATGGAGAGGATTGGTTCCTGTATATTCCCCCCTGTCCAAGTGTAAAACAGAATGTGACAGGGAGACCCCACGGGCCTCCTGGAGCATGGGGCAAGGTCACCACTGTGACTCCTAATGCTACACCCGTAGTTGGGGGGTGGGGTGTAAAAACACATCTCAATTAAATTAAGGGGTTTTTACTACCCCCCCCAAACTGCAAATGTAAACAAGCCCTTACTATCCTGAGCCCCCTAGAAGGCTGCTTTCACACTGAAGTGCTGCGGTTCACCCGCACAACGGGTGCAAAGCTGTTCACCTGCGGCTTAGCTGTGCTTTGCCATTAACTTCTATTATATCTTGTGGATGTGGTGCACTTTCTGAAGCTCTCTTTCTGCAGACCAGACCGCAGGCTATAATAGAAGTCTATGGCTCAGTGCAGTTATTGCAGGCTATAGACGGGCCGTTTATTGGCTGAATTGTCGGCCGATAAATGAAAAATTGGTCGGTGCCAATGCTGCCACCAATATCCACGAAAAAGATTTTCCAGCATGACCGATAAAAATAAATGAGAAGATCCGCGAAAAAAAAGCCGATGGGCTGGCCCCACTAACGGCATGTGAATATCGGCCAATTTTTTGTGCGAACAAAAATTCGGCCGATAAACGACCGGTCTATGGCCTGCATAAGCCACAGATGCACTGCGCTGCATCCACAGATCAATGTGAAAGCAGCAGAATAGTTAACCATTTTATAGGTGTCAATATGCCCACTGCAAAAGTGCACTGTATGTGATATTTAATATACAAACCTTTTCCTCTTCCAGCTTCTGCTGCCATCACTTGCCATCTTCAGGTGCAAGAAAGGTCCCAGGCAAAGCACAGTTCGTATCACTCCACCTGGGACAGGAGCTGGCACTTCAGAGGAAGTATCAGCTTATGTGACTCCTGCTTCCGCCACTGCTGACTCCATGCAGTCTGATGCTCCAGGATGGCAGTTCAACAGGCCCAAATCACAATCAATGGGTTGCCAACCCAGGTATGCATTTCCCTGGTTTGAGGTCAAGGGCCATATCAGAGAGCTCTGCAGGCCACAGATTGAGCACCCCTGAGCTAGAGAATAAAATAGTGGGTGTTACAATTTTGTATGTCACACGTATTGCCACAGGAGTTTTTCAAACGCAATTTTTGGGAAAAAAAAACACTTTAGTGAATTTTACTGCACAAAAACACAATATAATATCCAACTGTTTGGTAAAATATAAAAGATGATGTTATGCAGAGTAGATACCCAACATGTCACGCTTTTAAATGACGCACAGGCTCCTGGAATGGTGCCAAACTACAGTTCCTAAAAATCTCCATAGGCAACGCTTTATAAGCCTTTACTGGTTAGCAGTTTAGTTACATGGGAGGTCTGGTGCTGGAATTATTGCGCTTGCTAAAACGTTCTTGGCTATACCTCACGTGCGGTGCAAACACCTATACTTGCATTCGTCTTTGCACGTGAGCACGGGGATGGGGGCTTTAAATTTTTTTTTTTTATTTCTATTTTTACATTCTCGTTACATTTTTCTTTAAACACCTTTATTGCTATCACAAGGAATGAACAACATCCTTTACAATAGCATGGGCAGTGACAGGATCTCTTTACTGAGAAATCTGGCGTCTATTAGACCCCAGATCTCTCCTCTGCCCTTGAAAGCCTCAGATCAAATGGAGATCACAAGGCAGTAATGACCTGTTTACATTAGCTGAAATCATAAATGACAAAATAGTCGTCGTTTCTGGTTTCTTAGACCATAAAGATGACCGGGAATGTTCTGATCCTCACTCAACTCTACAGTAAGTTGGCGGAACTGCCGGCTTCAGTCCCGATGGGACAAGAGAGCCCAGGAAAGCGGTGGGGGGGGAGGCCTTCCAGCGCATGTAAAAGCAATCCAGCGGCTAATTAGCTGCTTGGATCGGTTACTGTATTCAGCATTGCTAGCATGGAAATTGGGATCATGGCTGCAGTCATGGCCCCAGTATGTCCACTGAAACCCAATGCTGTACAGGTACGTCATTGTATTTTAACACTGGCTAGGTTAAGCCTGGAAGTTTACTTGAAGATTCCCCACACCAACTTCAAAAAAACATGTCTTTGTACGGCTGGCTAGGTGCAAAAGGGTCACATTCGTGCAGAAAAAGAAAGAGCTTTCTCCAAATAGTTGCCAAGTTGAATGTGCACAATCGCCAAAAATATCTTGTATGCTGTAGCATACTGGAAATCTCCCAAACTCATTTTGGTGGAGTGTCCACATGCCATTGGCCATAAAGGTGGCTTGTAGGTGTGATGGTCAGGTCCCAGAAATTTTTGGCTAAAAACAATAATTACTGCTCTGTAAAGAGTTCCATCCATGCAAACTCTTTATATGTGCTTGGAGATTTCTCATACCAGTAGGACGTTGAAGGCTGGGAATTAGGGCTGAAAAAAACTAATCGACAGAATTGATAATGAAGAGAAGTGTCCCAACTATTTTCATAATCGATTAGTTGGTCTGCATACAGAATGCATTATTTGTTTACATATCAGAAAATACAGTGCAGCACACATACTGATTTGTACAGCATCCATACATGGCAGCATACACAGTGCAGCACACATACAGCTCAGTATGCTGTCCATACATGTTAGTAAGTGCCTGAGAACTTGTAAATGTTTGAGGAGCAATGCTTTGCGGGACATGTAGTCCTGGGCAGGAGA